TATATATATATACATACAGTATATAATCATAATTTTCTTTTCTTTTGTCATGATTATATTATATTTATTATATTATTGATGATGATGATTATTCATAATATGTCTAATGAATTATTAATTCTAGAAATATCTTTTTATTTTTATATAATCATTATATTTTCTTTTGTCGTTATTATATTATATTATATTTTATGCATTAAATAATATTATATTTGTTTTTTATCTATCAATTATTTTTTTAAATGATCAATTATTAATTAATTATTAATTCTACACTGAAAAAATTGTGTAGTTTAGAAACATTGTTCACCCAGAAATGGCTAGTAAATTGAAAATGGTATCTTTATTTTTTATATTGATATAATTTATTTTGTCATTATTATATTATACGGTATTATATTATTCTGTTTATTTTATCTATTCAATTATTAATTCTAATTAACTATTAATTCTAGAAAATGTTATCTTCTTATTTTTAATTTTTATATATAATCATTATATCTTTTATTTTGTCATTATTATATTATTAATATACTATATATATTATATTTTTTATCATTATTTTTTTAATTATTTTGTCTATTCGAATACATGAGTTACAGCAAACCCTTATAATCTGGTAAACACTTAAGCCATAAAACAGGGGATAAAACATTTTGTAAACATTTGTGTTCAGCTGTTGCATTTTTCATATAATTTCATGACACATTCTGTTCTTGTGTCTTGTATTCTATGTCTGTGTGTTCAGGTTAATGTGACAACTATAGATGGAGTGACTCCATTGTTTAATTCCTGCTCAGCTGGCAGTTTGGAATGTCTAGAGCTGCTTTTGCAGAGTGACGCCAGACCAGAGGCCCTGGCTATATGCCAGCCTTCACCCATCCATGAGGCAGTCAGCAGGGGTGGGTATAAGACTGGCATTATAGTACCATAGTCCTGCACAAATCAAAATTAGCCCGACTTAGCCGACTTGCTAATAGACTCTCTTAAGTTTTTAATATGACATGGCTTTATGGTCTCGTTCAAAGGCCACAGCAAGTGTGTGGAGGCACTGATTGCTTGGGGTGTGGATGTGGACTATGAAATTCCTCACATGGGCACTCCTCTCTACAGTGCTTGTCGATGTCAGGAGTACTTATGTGCCCGCAAGCTGCTCGATGGAGGTGAACAAGTCCAAATTCACACTATTAACTAACTTTGCTGACAAGTAGGGACAAACAAATTTCATGACAATCTAACTATAATTTTTCAAATTTAGCGGATGGTCAGTTTGACACAACCAGCCTGAAATTACAGTTACGTTTCACAAGACTTAAGTACATAAAAAGTAGATTCATTTTAAGATGGAAAATGCTGAAAGTAACAATAAGGTGGAGTTCATTATGTCTAACCGCTCTGACAGATTTAGTGAGTTCATTCAGAGACTGAATTAAACCAGTTAACATGAGTGAAAACGGTTCATAAAAAGAATCGACTCAAATGACTCTTTTAATCGCATCACAGAATGCAAATTCTGCAAATTCATGTTCACAATTCAGGTTCAAACAATCAAACTTGATTTCAAGACACTTCATAAAAGCTAGGCAATTTGTTTTAAGTGATATATCACCCACTCCTACAGGTAGATCACAGTTGTGCTTAATATTTGGAAAATAACCTATGCTGTGTTACTATGTCACAAAATTGTCACCATCACAGGTGCAAATGTGCAGAGAGGCACACATTTGGAGAGTCCTCTTCATGCAGCAGCCCAGAAAGACAGTATAAGCATAGTGAAGCTCCTGCTAGAATTTGGGGCAGATGTAAATGCACGCAACCTGGAGTATAAGCGGCCCGTGGAGGCTGCTCCTCCAGGGAGCCTTACAGAGGGATTCCTATTGATTTATGAAGGTGAGTTACATGTGCAGCAGTATGATAGGCTCAAAAGTCACTGATGTTTTGACTTTTACGTGTATTACTGCATCAGCTTTTATCAGTATTGTTTCATTTACAGCGACACCCCGTTCTCTGCGTCAACTGTGCCGTCAGCAAATCAGGGAGAGTTTGGGACGTTCCCGACTGCACCTTCTACCACATTTGCCCCTCCCTAAAGCCATGAAGAACTTTATACAATATAGATAATGTCCTTATGTTTGCTTAGTATTACTGTATTGACTTTGTGTCTGTGGTCTGATTTAACAAGAATATGCCAGTGATGGTATATAAATAAACTTGTGACTGGTACCCAATTTTGTTTATCTTACTTTAATAAATAAAATATAGGCCTACACACAAATTAACGATGGTTTTGTTACACTGACCATAGTTTAACCATGGTATTTGTAGTAAAACTGTGGTTATACAAATGGTAATCAATATGGCAAAAAAACATATGGTTACTACACTTTTACTACAATAAAACCATGGTTAATTTTCGCAACGTTTGTTAGACTTGAAAATATCTCATTCCAGTGTACCTTTAAAGGGATAGTTCTCCCAAAAAAAAAAAATTGTCATGATTTGCATCAAGTTGAATGTTGGTAAACAGTTGAAAACAGTTGACGGTAGCCATTGACTTCCATAGCGTAAAAAAGATCCCAGTAGGTCGAATGTTCTACAAATCAAACATATGATCTGCCAGCAGGTGGCAGCACATCAATTCCAGCGCGTGTCGTCAGTAAGCTTGTTTCCATGCGACTGTAAACAATGAACCGAAGGGGCTTGTCTTTTTCCTCTAACAAACAGGCTGCTCCTCGTTTCTGTCTTTACTTATAGTAAGAAATGGCCTATTCGCAGTCCCCTAAGAAGGCTGGTCTACCACGAGAGGTTTTGAAATGGCTGCAAAGTCTTGAATTATCGTTTTTCCCAAAAAACGTGCGCAGGTGAGTAACGTTAGAGAAGATGCCGTAAATCCCAAAAACTTCAGCCATTTAGGGGATATCAATATATTTGTACTTGTATAAAAGCTTGCAAGTGCTGTGTAGCTAGTTGGTTTAGTTTTCTAATCAAATACAATAAATATTCATTTACAATTCCCCACTGAGTACTCTATTTCGCTGTTTAGTCAACATCCGGCGATTTTGTTCATTTTGAATAAAATGTTAATATTTAACATCTGGTTTCATGAAAAATATAACAAATGTGGTTCAAAAATAAACAAAATTGAAAGGACTTTGAATTACTACTAAATATGAAATGTACTTACATGCCTTGTTGTCTTTTGACCAAAGAGACCTTTCCAATGGATACCTAGTGGCAGAAATATTTTCCTGGTACTTCCCAAGGGATTTTCATATGCACTCCTATGATAATGGAGCTTCACTGGCTGCCAAACAATCCAACTGGTCCCAGATTGAGAGAGTGAGTTTGATACAAGAAATTATACAAGTGACATGAAATATCTGATCATTTATTTTCATGATATGTTTATTGTGCTTTGGCCTATTTTTCTTAAACCATGCCAGCTTAATAAAGATCTAGCCGTTTAATAAGGATATTTTCTGTAATATACCTTTGGTTGTTTAAAAGTTTTTTGAGAAGCAAAACATCAGTCTGATGAAAGAGGTCATAGATGGCACAATCCACTGTAAACCTGGAGCTGCAGAGCTTCTCGTGCAAGAGATTTACACCTTCCTGACCAACAGAAGGTGAGCTTTCATATGTACTTTCTTTATGCATTTTTCATTCCCATCAGATAATGTAAATCAAATATTAGCCAAATAGCCCTTTAGGCATTGTTTTCAAATACTCACATTTAGTTTTTCTCCATTCTGGTATATAAAGCCCTCTTTTAATTTTCAAAAGACACAATTATGTTCAAATGAAAGGGAGGATACGTTTTGCAGGATGGATATGTAGGCCTAATTCCGCTTCATCTGCATGTACATGCTTTAGGTGTGTAAAACAAATATACAAATTTGCTTGCAGCCATGATTTTGTAATGCGTTACATATGCTTCAAAGGTTAAGGACTAATTAATCTCACACCTTGTCTACATTTGGCTCGTTTTATGCTTCCTGTAGGATCCAGACCATCCAGAAGGTGGAGCAAGGCTTCACAGATAAGGCTTATCAAGACCAGTTGCCTATGGTGGCTCGAGCCACAGCCTCAGTGGCCATAAAGAGCAACTTGAGTCTCAGTGAGGTTATAGCTGAACCAAACATCATCTCCAACCAGCGCAAGGTCCTTGCGATCATGCACAGACACATAGAACAGAGAAAAGAGGAGAGAACACAAGACCCAAGTGAGTAACACACCATAAATTTCTATTTGCCCTGAGATTTGTATGTCTTGGGGAAGGATGCTTTACTGTAGAGTATATTTCTTTGACTTCTTGATAGAACGATTCAATGTTAAGCCCACTCTTGGAGAACAGGCTGTCAGATTGCCTCCGCTGTTCGCCTACCAGAGCGAGCCAAACCTGCAGATGAACACCAGTCAAGCAGCTTGTTAAGTTCTTGGCTCTACCTTGCCAACAAGAAGATGAGACATATGTAAGCCAACAGTCTAAATAGTATCTAAATTTTAACAAACCATGTTGTTGTTGTTGTTTTTTGTTTGTTTTTTTCACAGAGCAGTATCACAAAAGCTCCTCAAAAATTGCACCTGGCAAGGCTATAAACTATTAAAAGTTTGCTAAGATAAACCCTTAGTGCTACATACACTGCAATGCATGGCAAAACATTTCAAACTGTTTTGCTTACCCGTTTAATTAAAAGGAACCTATTCGAAAGAATAATTAATTAATAAATTACTTGTTCTGATTCAAAACAGGTGAGAGAACAAGACACAACATTTAAAACATTTCTAATGTTGTCGAGAGTATTAATGTTACCACTCTACTTGAATAAAATACTATTATGATTAAAATAGCTTTTCTGTTGAAAAGAATTAAGATATAAATCCTTGCTATCAAGAAATGTCATTAATCTACAAATAATTGATTATCGGCACAATAGCAACACTTTTGCCCAAAATGGTTTTTATTGTTAACTAAAACTAATAAAAATTGATTTTGTTAATTGAAATTAACTGAAAATAAAGCTGAAAGTGAAATGACATAAATATTAGATTTAAAAAAATGTAAATGTTTTTTTGAAAATTAGAAATGTTGCCTTAATAACTAATTGAAATAACTTAAGTTGAAATACTAAAATTACTAAAACTTAGACTAAAAAAAAGCTAAATCTAGTTAGAAACATTAAAAAATGACAAGCACATAACAAAATTACTTCTAAAATTAATCTAAAATTAACATAAATATAAAAAAACTCATAAAAATGTTAATAAATACTATAATAGTATATAAATAATACTAAAATATACTGCTGCCCAACATGAGTCACAAGTGTATTATCATTGTTTAAATATATTGTATTTAGGGAATGTTTGTCTTCTTTATGTGCAGGTTCTGTGGCATCTGGCATCAGAAGCAAATTGGAGGCAAATTATGAGAATCTATGTTTAAGGTAGATGTCTTACAGAGGTCTTCAAAGCACATTTCAAAATGTGGCCCTAGAAATTTAAGCAGAAGATTCATTCGCACAATAAATAAAAACCAGTCTAACAAGCATACACATCAGTGTGCAGGCTGCTTTTGTTGTCCATGTTTAAATAGAACACAGACTAAAAATATATATAAAAATCCACATTTATTAGCTTCTAAAGGCTTGTTGTTCTGATTGGCATTGGATTTTAATTCTCTACACCTTACAGGTCAACAAATCTATTATAATGAAATGCATATTTCCATCTCTTGTGATATTCAAGTCACAGATTTAAAGTGTAAACAATTAATATTTTTCAGAAGAACTGCTTCTTGTAGTTCAACCAAAAGTTGGTATCAGTTCGATAGATTAATATATGTGTATAATCATTTTAATTCTGATTTCATCCATAGCTCTTATTAAATGTGTGATGATATTTGAATCAATTAAGTTACTAAAAATTATTTTTCTGCTCCTTATGATTTGATGTTTCTATGGCTTTTTATGGGACGGCTTGGGTTTTTTCTTGTTGTATAAAAAGAGTAGTCTGGACATTTTCCTAAAAATCTCCTTTTGAGTTCCATGGACAAAAAATAAATCATGTAGGTTTAGAACATCATCTGAGCTTAAATTGAACATTTATCAATTAACCCCAGTAGCTCTTAGGCCTTCTTCAGCCTGTTGTTGCATCTCTGTTATCTCTGTATTGAGATAGCTCGGTTTTAAATGAAAGGCACAGCATGTTCTCTTCTCCGCTCCACCTAAGACCCACTGCAAATTAGATATTCATTTAGCAAACTCACTGTGAGACAGGCAGGATTTAGGCAAGTTGCCCGGGTGCTTGTTTACACCCTCTGCCTCTTTTACTCTGTTTCTCTCTGCGTTGTACACACACAAACACACAGTGTCACACAGTCCCTTTCAGTCTCACACACAGACAAACACTCTCACACGCTCAGTGCCTCTGTCAAACATAAAGAGTGTATCTGCTGTGTTACCATGCATCTTTCAGACTCAATTCATAGCATAAGGTTGCCATGGATATCTAAAGCAAGCATACTGCTTTTCATCAATGTGCCTAGAAAATAACTTTTTAGACCACCTCGTCTCTCTCACGCTCCCTCTGTTTTTCTCACCCTCCTCCCTATTACATGCTTATGCTGTTTTCCATCTGAAATGGGCATTTAAAAATCCAAATAATAGGCTTTGTGCGGAATAAAATGCCATGAGGTGCGAATGACCCTGAATGCAGTCATTTAGTCATTAGCATAGCTGAGATGTTACTGAATCGGTGTCTACTCTCAATGATTTGACAAACAAATGATTTTTTTAGGGACATTTTCTTTCATTCATTCAAAGAGTCATCATTTACTCACCCTCATGACTTCTGTGGAACACAAAATATATTTGAAAAATGTATTTTGTATGAACTATTAGTGTACAGAAATAACCCCCAAAAGTGTTTTTTGACCACTAGGCAACCAACATTTGTACAAGTGCATCTCAATAAATTAGAATGTCGTGGAAAAGTTCATTTATTTCAGTAATTCAACTCAAATTGTGAAACTCGTGTATTAAATAAATTCAGTGCACATAGACTGAAGTAGTTTAAGGCCCAATCCCAATTCTACCCCTTACCCCTTCACTTTCCCCTTCTCATTCATTTCGCACGTTCACGTGAAGGGGTAGGGGTGTCTCAATTCTCTTTTGGCTGGAGGGGGAGGGGTAGGGGTAAGGGGAAGGGCCAGATAGCCCTTCAAATGAAGATTTTTCCGGACCTCACTTCAAATGAAGGGGTATGATAAATTTCCCCGCACATGGCAATATGGCTGCCCGAGCAAGCAGAGAGTCCCATAAATGTAAGTATTTTTTTTTGCATATATAAGGATTTTAATAACATAATAATTTGTTTTATGTTGCATTCAATCTTGTGTTCATATGTACAGTTATGTTCTCCGAAAAAACGTTTGCAAAAAATCGCTATAATAAATATTCCATAACATATTTTATTGATACCTGCTGATTTGACAACATAAGTAATAGCCCGGTGGCAGGTAACTTATCTTTTACCGCACGTCTGATCAATGCATTGTTTTTATGTCCATGAATACGTGAATATGATGTTAACAAACAGTGCTTTCAGTTTTCATGCTTATTTCAACATTATCCATCAGCATTGTATGTTCTGTATCAACCAGGGACGCCTGAGGAAACCCGAAGGCTCATACGTTTTCGTGCTGAAAATGAGCAGTGTTTCCTGAAATCCAAATATAATGCAACAACTTTGGGAGTGAGTAATCTGTTAAACGTTGTGCTTGTGCCTGATTACTGTGAGATATGTGCACTTCAGTACTGTTCATTTTGGTTAAATGTTACAGGACACTAATAAAATAATTGGGTTTGGAGGGAAAAGTGACTGGCCAACAAGCATCAAAGAAGTGGGAGAATTTAAAGAAAAAATATTAGGTAATCAGTGTGGTGCTATGAAAACCTTTAACAATCTAGACAGTCATTTCAGTACATGCTTTGTATTATCCTTGTAAAATGCACACTTTGAGAAGAAGTAATTTCTTCTAATATTTGTCACTTTCATAGTCTACATTAAACTACATTTTACAGTAATAATTCTATTATATTATTATTAATATTCTCCTTGTGTCTTCTGTCAGGCCCAAAACCGGTTCTGGAACAGATGCTGGAGAGGTAACAGCTTCTACGTGGCAGTATTTTGAAGAAATGCACAAGGTGTTGGGTTCCAGGCCTTCTGTGGACCCTCCTGTGGTGGTTGCATCATTCACTGACGAGGAACCCATAACAATCCTCATGGTAATGTTTTAAATACACTGCATAGCATATAATCCTACTATTTTTGTGATCAGGAATTTTATTATTGTTGTTTTGATGTTAATGTACATGTTTTTTGAGAAGAACTGTAGTGACATATATAACTTATTACCCATTTCTGGACTGTACATGTGTATATCGTCTTGTTCTCCTAGGTCACTGTTGAACCCAGTGGAAGTACTGCTGCCAGCACCATAGGAGCCTTCTCATCTTTGCAAAATACATCGGAAGAGACAGCCTCTTCTAGTGCAGCATCCACCATGGTGATAGCAAGCCCCCCAACTCCATCACCAAAGAAAAAAAAGAGGAAAAGTAATCCCGGTTTGGATTTTTTTAGTAGAAGAGTCCCAAAAGGAGCAGAATCGCCACGAAGAGAGCGAGGCCAAGACTGAGAGGTTTTTGAATCTCGAAAAAATGATAGACAAATTGTAGTTGTCTTTCATGTGTGTTTCAATTTTTCAATTTCTTACAGTTCATAGTTTTGAAATTTGCACTATTGTTAACAAATTTCCTTGCATAACTGTATAGGTGTGTTGTTTAAATGTTTTTATACTTTTAATAAAAAATTTTATATGATGTTTTGTTTTTTATGATTATTTACCGAGTTTTTATATATTCGAGTGCAATATTTTTGTTTGATGTGACTGGATATTATCCTACCTCCCTATACAGATGTTTATACATTTGAGGCAATAAAAAGCAATATTGCTGTTTATTAAAAGAAGGTGTTTCAATATCAGTAACATACATGGAAAAGACACAGAATACCATGCGATATGTATGAAAACACTTTATTGCAAACAACACACACAGATAGAAAAAGGTAGGAATAGCATCTCCAATAATTAACTAATATGAAAACTGTTTTAAAATGGGAAACATAAAAAATAAAAAAATTGGAGTACACCTGTATGTCTGGATCATGTTCACGGGGCTTGCACAATTCCTGAAACTAGAGCAGCCAGTCTATCCCTTGTAGCATTCCCAGAGGTTTCATTGGATGTCAGGCCTTCACGGGGAGGATGGAAGTCAAAATTGTCCCTTGAAATGTCGGCATCTGGCTCAAGCATATCTCCATTGTCCAAACATACATTGTGCAAAAAGGCACAGGAAGCAATGACCTGGGGTGGAAATGTTGGTTTGACTTCCAGGGTTCTGAAAAGTGTAGACCTCCATCTCGTTTTCATCATGCCGAAAGCCCTTTCAGTTATGCTACGGGCCCTTGAGTGGTAGTAATTGAAGCGGCCCTGGACTTCTCCATTCACTGGCTCTTTATAGGGTGTGATCAAGCAGACTGGGGTGTCTAAACAGGGATAGCCTCCATCACCCAGAATAATGTACGCTGAAGGGGGATGTCGTTGTGCCCTATAAAATGAACTGTTTTTCAATATTCGTGTGTCGTGAATTGACCCCGGATAGCCAACAAAAATGTCCAGGAAACGTCCGCTGGAGTCACATATTGCTCGCATGTTAATGGAATAAAAGCCCTTGTAGTTCAAATAGTCAATTTGGTGCCGCATTGGGGGTTTGATCCTTATGTGGATGCCATCTATTGCTCCAACAATGTTTTTAAAGGCAGGGGTTCTTGACAGTTGGACGAATCCTTGCCCCACTGCCTGTAGTTCCTCTGCTTGTGGGAAGGAGATGGCTTTGTTCAGGTTTACCCATATATTCTGTGCCACTCTGTAGATTACGCGGTGGACTGTAGCTTTTGGCACATTGAAAACACTGGACACTACCCGATACGACAGTCCACGTAGATTAGAGTTTCCAACTGATGACCCCAGCCATGGTTCTGTTCTCTTTGTAAGAGCCTTTGCAAAGCATTCAATGCTCTTCTGCTCAGGCGGAAATCCTGCTTCAGCTCTAACTCCATGTCAAGCCACAACTGCAAGATGGGCACTTTACGATTTAAAATGCAGTATGTTACTGGACTGCCAGCCTGGGAAAAAAATAAGTTCACATCATTATTCTGAATAGTACAAACTTTTACTACATCTGGGGGCATGTCCTCTCCCCCAAAACAAAGCTCACAACCTTTAAGAAAATTGACTATGGTTTTATTATAGCCTAGTAAAAACTTTTTTTTTTTACGTATTGATTACCATTTGTATTACCACACAAACACCATACTTTAACTATCGTTTAGTAGAAAAACCATGGGTTTTAATGTTTAACATGGTATAACTACAATAACCATGTTTTTCTGAATTTATTCGTTGTAAAACCATGGCAAATTTTTATAGGGGAAGCTATGGTGCAAACAATAGATGACGCGTAACTTCAAAGTGTCATTCAGTCGGATAAAATATGTAAACATTTCACACTGTAAACGCATATATGGATACAAACATAGGTCGGTAACTCCAACAGGTTCATATAACACCACAAAATACAAGTCCACTAAAGTTTTATATATTCCAGCTTTTAACGTTATGTTGAATACAACAACACGTTTTTGCAGCCATCATACATGCCATAAACTGATCCTCCAGCAAACATAGGCGTCGAACACATCGTTGTCTCCTTTGTCTTCTGCGAAGTGCAGAAGACAAATGCAAAAAAATAGCTGTAACCCACACAACTGAGATCACTGTAGCTACCGACGGCATCTTGGAAGTTTGTGATAAACATCGGCGCATTTTCTTTGACATAGGAGTTAGCGACGACGTATGATGACGTGTAACGGTGTAGTAGTGGTGTCCCATTTCTTAGGGGAATATTTTCAGCCCTACCTCTTAACACTCTGTTTCAAGGGGCAAGGGGAAGGGTATAAAATAGAATTGGGATTGGGCCTAAGTCTTTGGTTCTTTTAATTGTGATGATTTTGGCTCACATTTAACAAAAACCCACCAATTCACTAGAGCCCCTACCAAGTATTGAGTACATGTACAGTAAATTAACATACTTTCCAGAAGGCCAACAATTCACTAAAAAAATTTTTTTTATTGGTCTTATGAAGTATTCTAATTTGTTGAGATAGTGAATTGGTGGGTTTTTGTTAAATGTGAGCCAAAATCATCACAATTAAAAGAACCAAAGACTTAAACTACTTCAGTCTGTGTGTACTGAATTTATTTAATACACAAGTTTCACAATTTGAGTTGAATTACTGAAATAAATGAACTTTTCCATGACATTCTAATTTATTGAGATGCACCTGTATATGCATTACATCCATCTACTGTATATACAAAGTATATTGGTTTAGATTGGTTCATTAAAGCAGTCAGTGGTCAAATATATTGTTTTAATAAACCAAATGTTTTCCATGGCAGCCTACCAGTGCTACTTTCACATCTCATATCACTCTGCGCTCTCTCTTGTCATTGGTGCCTTCATGTGACTCAATGTGGCGACATATTGTTGTAAAAAATGGCCTTGGTGGACTTCTGTATTAGTGAGCCTTTAAAGAATGGTTAGAAGCTCAGTAGTCTTCAGTTAAAGTGAGAAAATGAAAACAGCACTCTGAATAGCAAGGAACTGGAGAA